CAATTCAACACAAATTAAACAATTGGAAAAAATACAGAAAATGATAACTAAATTTATTTGTTATAAAATGAAAAAATTTAATATTGATTATAAAAATAGATTAGAATTCTTAGGAATAGATTCACTCGAAAAGAGGAGAAATATTCAGATTTTGAAACTATTTTTTAAAATAAAAGAGAAATTTCTTGAAATACCAAATGAATGGTTAAATTGTGTTGAATTCGTTGAAACCACAAGGCATGGAGTTTTTTGTAAAATACCAATGAATTGTATAAATAAATCTGATAAACATTTGTTTAATTTCTCTGTAAAACTTTTTAATGATTTACCACTAAATGTAAGAAATGAATGTAATTTTACAAAATTTTTAAATTTAATTAATGATTATTTTAAAGAAATTTGATGTAACTTTCAATGACATGTTCTTTGAATAAAACTTATTATTATTATTATTATTAATGTTCAAAAATATTAAAGTTATAAATCATATGGATTATATTATATTTTTTATTATATTTTTAATTTACATTTTATATTATATTTTTAATTCACATTTTATATTATATTTAAAATTATATTTTTAATTATTAAATGTCAATTTCCACATGAATAATTGCACTAAATTTTATTTAAATTATGACATTCATTGGTTGCATAAAATATTTAGGCATATTATTTATCATATAATAATCTATAAACATCATTTGTGTTATAAATTTAAATTATAAATATATGAATTATGCCGCATATAGGTGCATGAACTTATAAATAACTACAAATACAGCTATAATTACAAATTTATAAACATGCAAATTTCTAATTTTCTATTCAAGCATTTATTTTGTAGCTAGAAAGAGTGTAAACTAAAACTACGAAAGTAAACTAGACAATAGAACAACATTAAGTGGACATTAAAATTGTGTTTAAATTACCACTTAAGTTAAATCAATTTTTAATTATTATTTGTTCCTATATTTTGTTAAACTAAATTTAGATGAAAATAATAAATGAGTGATCTAAGCAGCAATTATGAAATTGTTATACTAGATAAATTACATAGTTTATACTGATTTAATTGTCAACATAGTTATATTTGATTAATAAAACATATCAAAGAAAA